TTTTTCTTTTAACTAATCATATAGCCTCACAGAGAAGCTAGCTAGCAAATGATCCTCGTTCTTGTGAAGTGTACAAGAGCTTTCAACTTCAAATTGTTGTTGTACCACATTCTGCTATCATTTCTCACAGCAGGGTGCTTTTAGAGCAAATTCACGTACAAGTCAAGTCTCAATCTTTAGATATTAAGTTTGTGTACAGAATTTATATTCTGAAAGTTGCATTTGTTTTTAATTGCATCTGTTTGAACTTTGTTTCATTTGAAGATGTTTAAGAGTGGGATTTTCTTAGATGCTGGTTGGATTCCTCAGTTCTGATTTCACTGTCAACAGATATTGTAGAGTTATGTGTTTTCCCTCACTGCGGTGATGGAATTACATTTTAAAGAAGTCACGCAACATTTATATTTAATGATACTGGTGTATAGTTTTTCTTTTTTTTGATAGAGATCTATTTTCAACTTGAAAAATACTTTGTATGGCAAAGGCAGAGCAATATTACAGCAACAGACTGATTTCAATTTTCAAAGTTGAACACATTTGTATTTCATATAAGAAAGTACAATTAAAGATGTGAGAGCTCAGCTGCTCAGTGACCATCACTGAGTAGCTGAGCTCTCACATCTTTAATAGATCCGTAGGCTACCTCGCATGGGTTTGGTAATTTGGCTGGTACACTAGACGGCTGCAACAGAATGTTTAATAATGTTCTGAGTGAGCATTAGTTTGATGCATGAGAGTCAGAAAGCTGATTCGTTACAGCCATTGTCTGTATACAAAGAGCAGAGGTATCCTTTAGCTGAATGTTTCTGTGTGTTGAGTCCACTGTTATTTCGCAGCAAAACCGGACTCGCGTGTTCGTTTGATGAAGTATGCAGGACACAGATTTAAAGTTCAACACGTCTAATTTATTAAAAGTATAGCCAAGCATAGAAGTTTGAGATTGCTTACAGAGCTCTGGACTCACACTGCTCTCCTCTCGCCAGTCTAAACAGAGTGTAGTACCTCCTTGTTTCAGTCATTCATTCTTATTCACATTGTCTGTATAACAGGGTCACTCCGCCTCTTCTCTCTTCACACCACTCTGACCTGAACCTGTTATCTAAACATTTCATACTTGTTCTTTCTTGTCTGGCCCTGTACATCATTCTGCAAACTCAAACGGCATGCAGTGTCACAATATTCATAAACAACCATAATCATCAGTTCAAGGCGGATTTGCCTTTTTAATCAAACAGTGCATACAGTTGCAAACATAACATATCCCTTCATGTGACACCTCTAATAACCGCTTTAGCTTTGAGTACAGCGTAGGCCCAGCATCTGAACTGACATACACGGTAATCCCATCAACATTCATAATGTTAATTTTAGAAAAGCACACTTGTGATGAGAGTAAATGAATAGTGAACGCAGCGTGCTTTTCAACCTCCTGAATGAGGAATGAAGGAGAAAATGAGGCAGCAAATCGTGAAAATGATTGGCAAATGAAGGGAAGCCAGAGTATCTCATGAAGACAGATTCACGTGTGGATGTATAGCTTGAGTTTGTCACTATAACTGCAGCTACAGGAGCAATTAGAGGTAAGAAATGTACACCAGTGAAACATTTAGATGAGGCCCGGATGATTCCCTGATATCAATCCCTCACAACACCTCTGGGATGAACTCAGAGAGAGGAGGATCCACCCATCAACCTTGGGAAGTTGCAGGAAGTGCTAATATCTGCAAACTCAGCAGGATGCTACATGTCTCCCACTGAGTCACTGTCACAACATGTCGCAGCTGTTATCAGGGCCAAAGGTGCACAGCACTGAACAGAGGTTTCTTCTGTTGTGGCACTGAGAGTATTGCTCTCGAGTGATCTTAGACTCCTGCTGGTAAATGGCACTGTTGTCACCACGAGATACATTCGGGCACACAACCTAAGTACAGCAGGAGTCAGAGGGATGCAGACTAAGTCTTGTATATGACAAAACAATCTCACCTTGGTTTCCAGAGGATGAGTTCTAGTCTATTCTACTCAAAAGTCCATTCCTCAATGTATTTGAATGTAATTAAATACAATTTTAATGTATGATGTTGTATTGTCAGTGCAAAGTATTGATAACTATTACTTTACAGCTTTATAACTCACATTGTTTTATTTTTAGACTCTCCTGTAACACTTGAAACACTTCAATGAGTCATATGGGAGAGGTTGTGGTAGAAAGGGTTTCTAACACATGGTTAACATTGTGAAACTGTCTATTAAAACCCAGAGCATTATGTTTTCCCAAACCTAACCAAGTACTTTTGTTAGTTGTGCCTAAACCAGACTTAAAACTGAATAATGTGAATAATGATAATTTAAGAAAAGGTAATAAGTCAACTTATACGTAAATATCACCTTCTGATGTCACACAGGATTCAAATCTCACTCTTGAGGACAGTCCTGTGCTTGAACCACTATTTCACCACAACCTCATCCCAGTGCAGACTTTTGCTCTTTATATCGTCTCACCTGACTTCCTAAAGCCTTTCTGCTATAGCAGCATTTATGAAGGATTTAGAAGTCTACCTGGTGTGTGGCACTTATTAAAGGGCACTTTCCCACAACTTGTGCCTTCTTTTACACCATTTTTTAATGGTGCAAAAAACAGCGTTCGGTTCCATAAGGGTGTTAATAGCTGAATTTTCTTACTACTTCTTCTTAAAAACACATACTCAAATTGAGTGTTTGTTTGCTATTAAGTTTTATTTGTTGTTGTATTATCCATAGAGATGAAGGCAGAGGATCAGGTAATCAGAGAACTGATACCCCATTCAAATAAATTGATCATTAGTTTTAAACTGTAAGCATCTGATCTTCATGTCCTATTTTGTACATCTTAAGTGAACATTGGAACTGTTGTGGACATAAACATCTGGTTGTATGTCTCCACCAACCACTTGTTGGAAATATGGCCACAATCTTCTGCTGCTTAGTTACAGTGTTGAATAAAAGGTGTTTTTGCAGAGCATTATGATGTCACAGTGAAGTTGACCTTTGACCACTTAGATATAAAATGTCACCCCGTCATTTTATTAGACATTTGTGTTAAACTTTGTCGTAATTAATTCTATGATCTACAGTTTTGAGAGGTCACGGTGACTGTGACCTTTGACCACCAAATTCTCCTCAGTTCATGAGTGCAAGTGGACGTTTTTACAAGCAATTCCTTCCAGGTGTTCCTGAAGATTGGGACGGATGTGAGGTCAGTGAACTTGACCTTTGATCCTTGAGTCCAAGTGAATGTTGCACCATATTCCCCTGCGGTGTTCTTGGGATATCACGGAAAACCCGAAAACATAAGGTTATGGTGGCTCAACTCTATGAACAGTGTACAGTGAGACAGCAAACTGACATTGAAATCAACTCTGGGATTTTGCATCAGTGCACAGTAAATTCCCCACATATTTTCTATGTGAAAACATCTACTCCTGCACTGAACCTGTACATGGTACTTAACAACACAAGGGTCAGTTTTTCACAATTTTTATTCCAAAAATTTGCTTACAAGCTGAAATTTTGTCCTTTCAGGACTTAATCTGCAATTACTATGAAAGAACCTCGAGTAGGTTGGTAGGATCAGATAAAAGAATACGGAAAAAAAAATATATCAGCGCAACAGGCTGATATATATATATATATATAGAGAGAGAGAGATAAATAGATATATATATATATATACACACACACACACACATACACATACACAGACACACACACGACCTGAAAGTGGCAACAAATGTAAACAAAACAGAAAAGCATTATGTAACATTGTGATTAAACTTGCATAAAGCAGAGAAAGAGAGACGGTGACAAAAGTAAAAACCTGATAAAAAAAAAAAAAACTGAATGTTGTGATCAGTTTGAAAATGACATAAATCATATGCTGTGGCCTTCAGTCACCAGATCTCAACCCAAGTTGAACACCTATGAGAGACTTGGACTCCACTACCATCATCAAAACACCAACTGAGGGAATGTTTTAGAAGAATAGTGATCATCCTCCAGCAGTTACAGAAACATGTAGAATCAATATTAAGGGACATTGAAGCTGCTCTGGTGGTTAACACCTTACTAAGACACCCTATGTTGGTTTTTAATTTAATTTGTCACCGTCTGTTTGCATACACGACTTCCACTGAGACCCATAAAGCTCAATGCAAGAGAACCATCATATTGTACAGGCACATAATTCATTAAGAGCAGGAAATTGAATCAAATTCACTTTCTCTCAGGTGCTTTTGGGCAAAGCAATATGTATCCCATCAGCGGTACCCAGGAGAACCTACTGTCATTTTTATGTCGCAGTTGTGATCAGTTATGACAAAAGTGTAACAACAGACCGGAAACAATGCAGACAGAGGATTAAAATATCATGATCCATGAGAACCATGATCATTAACACTGTCAATCAACAAGTATAAAAGACACAGTCAGGCAGAGAACACAGTCATTAAATAATTATTAACTTGACTGCTCTCCACCATAATAGCTCAATATACTTGTGCTCTCTAGACATTTATCATGATGCTTCACGTGTTCTGTTGCTCAATCAGTGCAACCATAAAGACATTAATTCCTGAGGACATTACATAAATAAGGCACATCTTCAAGGATTAAGACATCAATAAGGTCTATTGAACATCACTCGCTATGAGAAACAATCAACTTGTCTTGAGATGTGTGTAGGTAAACAGCAGTCTGTACACGTAGTATACAGGACAGCAAACACTTTCTGTATTTAAATACTTTATCAACCCTCCGTGTAGAGCTGAAAGAAACATTTTCAGTCATACAAAAAAAAAAAAACAACTCAATACAAGTTGTAATTTTGGAGTGTAAGTATGGTTAACTAGGCAGATAATTCAGCCTGGTTTAACTTCACAAGATCCTGCATTTGCTCATCAGGGCTAGTAGTAACATGCCCTTACTGAATCGGCAGGACCAGCAGTGTCAGCAAAATTTGTGCAAACTTTTTTTTTTTTTTTTTTGGCTGAATAGATTCACTACTCAACATACCACCAGTATGGGTGGAAGCTTTGTGCATTGCTACTCCACTGGACAGCACAGGACAAGGGAGAAGCTTTCACAGAGCGACGACTTCATGCCATAAGATTCATGAGACATCATTACTCATGCTTTCTCTCATGACAGCCTGTAGACCACTATGGGTGGCAGCCTCGTGTGATGCTTACTGGACAACACACAAGCTTAGACCTGACACCAAACATGATATTAATGAGACATTACTAATACTTTCTCTGCAGTATGAACGTTTTGGCGAAATAGATTTATGACTGGCTGAAACAGCGCTACAGATCATAGCCCTGTGCGATGCCATTCCAACCAGGATCAGATGGAAGGACCTCACAACGTAAATACTATTAAGAATGCATCATTTCAGACGGAGTTCACCTCAATTTGATACTCATAGATGTAATGATCATTGTCAATAGCTCTGTCCCTGATATTCTCAGCTGTTCGCCTCTGATTCAGATCAAGTAATGCACTCAGCAGGTCATTTAAACTAGCTTCTCTGCCCACTTTCTCCAACCAAATGTTCAGCAACTCATGGATCCTGTCTTCATAGCGAATGTTCTCTTTGCTTTTGATTACATTGTCGCTAATCCCAAGGTGACGGAAGAATTTCTTGTGGTAGTCGACCTCCATTTCTTCTTCGAAGAAGTCAAAGCATTTCCTCAGAGAATCTTCACCTGCAAACAAAGACAAACCTTCATTCAAGCACCTGGACCACAATCTGGCATGAACATTTCTATGAACATTTGAAACCTGTGCATAAGTAAATAAGCCTGACTGAATTCTAACTGGACTGAATAACAAAGCAGGGCTGCAACAGCAACTTTCTAATGTTTGTATTTTTGGATTGTTTGTGTGTGTGCAGCTGGGTTGTCAGTTTGTGCTTTGTTCGTGAACTGCTGCCTCAAATTGCCCCTTGAGGGACAAATAAAGTAGTAGTACTGATTTGAATGGAATGGAGTGTGGCATCATGAAAAACTAAGGCTCAATGTCCACTGTCTTTATTAACTAAGTGTTTCTCTGTATCACACTGATCCATCTGAGAATCATAAGGATGGGTGTGTGACTTTTCAGAGAAGGAATACAAATAAAAATAAAAACACATTACCTTTCAGAGGAACTAGTTTGGGAAATTGGCATTCTTCCTATAAGACAAAGAAGGGAGGCAATCATTAATACTCCAACAAGCCAATTGTCAGTCTTGGTGAACACAACTCATCTCTTATTCAATTACTTGCTTGTCCAAAAGCCACATGCTCCCTGCTGATCGGGCAGCTGCTCCACTGAGCTGAATCGAAAATAAGTTTTTCTGCCAGGCAGATTTCTCATAATGCAAACATGTACTTCAGGTTTGAATGGAGAGAATGCAGGCCAATCAGGATTTGAGTGAAGCAACTCTGTCGATGTTAATCTTTAACAGGTGCAACAAGGAGCATGTGACTCATCAACTTCAGTTTCTAACAATCAGAACGACTCTGAACTGTTTACAGTAGCTGTGTCACACACAAGACGACATCTTTCACGATGCTAAATACACTGAATCGAATGAGTTTATTTCCAAAGCTGTCTGTCACTGGCTTTAACACTGCTCTCCGTTGCTGAGAACATGACTCCAGTGGGGAGGTTTTGTTCCAAAACAGACTGAAGAGACTGGAGAGCGAATTTGGAGAGTTACTGGTTTTGGTACTTAACTATAGCCACTGTGATTCAGAGCAACTGGGACTATGAAAATCTTAACAGTCTTTCTGTGAATATCAATATTCACAGTTTCTGTGAGGCCAGAATGGATAATATAATAAAAATAAAATGGGGTTTTGTGTAACAAATACATTTTCAGTCCATGTAGTTTAAAGAGAATCTCATTAACAACTAGTGCAGGACTCAAACTGCATCACATGACACGCTGAAAACAGTGTTGATCAAATTAGGTTTTAAATAAGTTAGTGTTGGTCACCAGAGTTTAGTGCATCTCATCCGTCCTAATGCATGTGATATTTTAATAAGGCAGCTGTGTTTAACACTTTTCATGCAAGCATGTCATAAGGAGCAAAGTGGGGAAACTGGGAGGAGGAGGACAACCAGACCAGTAACTAGAAGCTGAGTTAAGATAGCAAAGCATTACACAACAGAAACAAACAAGAGTAAGGAGTAAGCAGGTGAGAAGGGAAGAAGCAAGGATGGAGATGAGCTGCTGCTCTCACCCTCCTGTTGGGCTGCCTGGGGACCACAGCACTGGCTTGGGGGGGAGGTACGGGGAAGGCAGAGGAAGGCAGGCTGGTTAGGCTGTGCTGGGAGTTACTGGCTGAGCTGTTGAGGCTTTCGCACAGCACTTTACGTTCATCCTCCGTGCCGGCTGAGGATTTAGGTCTCACCAGTTGCCAGCTTGGCTTTTTGGTTTCTCCAGTCTTCCTTTCCTCAGTGGGAAAGTTATCAGGATAACGCTGGGGCGGATGAGGAACATGTTCAAACAAATCTAAACAAACAACTCACTAATTAAATCTTTGAAATCTTAGCAAAACTTAAAATTTTGTTCTAAGTTTGTGCTACATTTATTCCACTGCTCTGCACTCTTTCGTTAATCCTACAGTGATGCCAAAAGTATTAGAAGCGACTCACCTGTCCAGCTTTGCCGTCGGGTCTCTGAGAGTCTGAAGAAAGGATGGAGGAGAGGATTATGCAACTTTAAGAAATTCCCTAAAGTCAAAACTATTGACCTCTGTGTGATTTGGATTTCCCTTCCTGGGTAAATCAACTCTGAATAACAAAAGGGCAGAAATTTGCTGCTGCATTGCTATCAGCGGATTCTAACATTGATTGCAGCTGCACCTCTGGCCACACCAGTCAGTGGTGTCAGAGCAGGGGATTTTCACAGGTCATGTCTGGAACCTGGCCGATCCTGTGCGTGTTTGTGCTGGACTGGGTACAGTTTAGCTACAGCCTGGTAAACAGCAGAGACTGGGGCAAACATCTTCACATGGCAAATCCAAATGGAAAGGTATTTTACTGTACGTGCCAACAACAGAACAGTCCAGCTTCAAGTCTGGTCTGGACGATGATCACATAAGCACTGGCTCATTTATGTTATCTACATTTTATCCTACTACACCTTACTCCGACATCGTCAGCTAGTGTCAGCACATCGTCGGCCACGCCACCTGCTGCTGTGCGTTCATCAGCTGGAACAATCATACCTGCCATTTGAAGTCTAGTTAAACTGGTTTCTTTGACCACAACACTACAAAAAAATGCAGCACACTGACGGGAAGTCGTGGAGCACAGCCAATGGGTGTCAAAGACAAACCCTGCTGTGACATCAGTGTTTCATCCTCAACCATTCAGCGCACGGATTGTTTCTCTTTGATGCTCCCGGCGAATTAAGTAATTACAGTCTTACTCATCTAATCAGACTCAGACACATTTAAATAGGAAACTTCTACCTGAAAAGCTCTGACAGTTTGCCCGTTGTTGTGTATTAGCCAAATCACGCTGGCCCTGTGGGCTAATCCATGGGTGTCGAATGCAAATGAGAAGCCGGAGCTTGGTGACATGTCTCACTGGACAACAAGTGGATGAAAACTATTAGTGAATGCTGCTCAACCAAATTCAGCTAATGTTATGTCTCTAGAAGGAAGAGATACATAAAAACCAAGCAGCAACCTCAAACATGAAGCCAACACTGAAGTGGCAAAAACTGCAGTTCCTCTAATGGCTCCAACAGCGAGTCAGTCCCCATAGACTCCCATGTTAAAATGTCCAACTTTACAGCAGAAACAAACATGTTCACAGCCTGGTTCAAAAAAACAGTTTGTCTCTATAGCTAATTTCCTCCTTCCTGACAACTGTATAGGGGGTGAATTTCTATATAATTGACCTGTTTACATTTTATTAGGTCTTAAAGTTATATATAATTGAGGGCGTGGCTTCTTTGAGTGACATCTGGGTGAGCCTATGTTTGCCACAAACCAGCATGCAAAATAAAGTCGCAGATTAAGATCTGTCAAAGAAATAACAGCATCGCACATGTGCTCATCGCTAGACCAAAAGATGTTAGAGAGCACAGAGCTCAAACATCTGGATCATGTACTTGAGCTCTATATATAGTTCATTATATATCTGTAATGTTTCTTTACATGTGCAAAGTTTTAAAACTCAAATTGGAACCATTTAGAGCTGAAACAAATGGTTGACTAATCAACTAGTCAATTGACAGAGTTGATTGACTAACTGATCAATCAAATTTGTGAGCGTTCCACCCTCTCAGTTTTGAGGATTTGCTACTTGTTAATAAAGTGAAGATTTATAGGTTTTGGTTGCTTAGGAAAAAACATGACGACATCATCTTGGGGGTTTTGATGGGAATTTTTCACAATTGTTGGCCTTTTATTAGATAAACGATTAAATCAAGAAAATAATCTACAGATCAATAAATAATGAAAATAAACGTTAGTTGCAGATCTATTAACTAATTAAAGCACAAATTATGGCTCATGCGCCTAGGTTTGTTTCTGTAGGTGCCCTGAACCCCTTCAGCCATCATCTGTATCCTTTACAGGGTCGACGGGCCAGAGTCCATCACAGAGCTCACAGAAAACCAGTGTATCAAACAGAAACTTTAAACAGTGATACACACCTTACATCTCAGGTGTGGCCAGCAGTGCAACGTGCTGCAGTTTCCTGTCTTATGCAATTCAGTTGGACGTGTTTGTGTTCTGAAGTGAGGTGTATCCCAGTGTACTTGAACTTAAGACTATCATTGGAATTAAAGATAAGGCTTCATTATGACACTGAATTATAAAAAGGAAAAGTCAAACAATTCCATGATGCACCAAATGTGGGCTGTTAGAGATGAAAACCTGTTGTGTGGTACTGAAAGGTGTAATTTCCTTTAATATCAAAACCTTTGTCAGGTCTTCATTTCCTGACTGCACCTGTTCATGTTATTGTTTGAATCAGTGTCTGCTGATAGAGCCAGGACTGACCTGACTTGAGCCTTTTCTATGGTATTCTCAATGCTTTTAAAATGATTTTTTTTTTTTTTTTTTTTTTAAAAAAGGTTTATCATAAGAAACAGTTTGTTCTTATGCTGTTTATCTATTTACAAACTTGGATACTGACACTTTCAATGTGTTTTTATGTTTTATATTATGTAGACTCGTTTTTCTGTTTCCACATACCTGTTGCTTTGTTTCTCTTCTTCCACCAGCAAACTGCTCCCAGGATAATGAGCCCAATAAGAATGAGTGTGAGTGGCACCGCTATTGCTGCATTTACTGATTGGGGAAGATAAATAGTGGTATGATGGTATTAATATGGACATGAGCTGTTCAGTGACTGTGGAGCCACGTTTGATGTACATTTCTTCTCTAGAATTGCAGATATTGGCCATATTTCAATATGATATATTTGGTGGGTGCAGATAATATGACTTATTGTTCTGAAGTTACAAATATCACACTGAGTGACTGATAGAGACTGAATGTGTGTTTCTGTGTTGAACAGACCATAAACTGCATTTCTGTAGCTAGCACAAAAAAGCTTTGTTAATCTCAATTTTAGAGTCAATCATTTCAAGTTTGGGTTTTGACATTGAAGCATATAAATATGTCCAACCAGACCACAAATTAAAAACACATATCCAGATCATGTTTATAATTATGTGTAATTACAAACCAATTTGCAAAAACCAAACTGGTTCATCACTCGACTTTCTACCTTCAAACAAGAAAATGTAGGATATCGTTTTCTGGAGTAACATAAAAGTCAGGCTTGTCATCACTGATGACTGGTGTCTTCATGTTTTTCAGAAAGCACCACTCTGTATTGTACCTGGGGAAGTGCCAGGGCTGGACTGGATTTTCTTGCACTCTGTGTTGGTGGTAGAGGTGCAGTTCCTCACTACCTCTTCATCTTTTTCACACCTAGTTTGGAGGGAGGCAAAGAGATTGAAGGCGAGAAGGAAGTAAAATGAGGAAGGCTGTCTCAGAAACAACTGAGAAATGAGCTTCTCCCATCACGAATGAATGAACCAAGCACCAGCTGTGTTCTTTTCAGTTTGCATGGACTCACCTTGAACATTTCTTGCACACTTCACATGCCTGGTCAGGAGCACAAAATCCCCCTGATTTGCACCGACATTCAGTATTATGAGTTTGACTACATTCCCTTACAATTTCCTGATCTGAGAAAGCAAGAGAAAAAGACCTTCGTAAGGCAGAGTTGACGCTCAGAGCAATTTGAAAAGGTTAAATATTGATTCCTCTTCTACAGTCATTTCAATCGATAGTGTAAAGATGTCAAGTAGAATTACCTGAGCGACACCGCGTGCACTTGAAACACAGATTCAGCCCATTGCTGTGCTCAGTGTATGTGTGCCCATGGTCGCATTCTCCACACCTCCCCTTCTCTCCTGTTCTGGTGCAGGGTGATTCCACACGTGTACCTAACACACACACACACACAAAAACATAAAAATCTTTTCTTTTTTAAAAAAAAAAAAAAAAAATACACCTTAATTGAGCTTCCAAATTCAACTGAACCTGTCACTGAAGCTAAATAATAACCTATCACGCCATGCTCAACCTGCTTCATAGCCCCTCTGATGGATTTCTGATTGGAGCTGATGACAGAACTTCAGTCTCTGTGGACTAAATCAAGTGTTGCTCCATGTGGCTTACCAGCTGGACAGTTTAGACAGCAGATGTTGTCGTGCTGATACTCCAGGCTGGCTAAGCACTGGACATCCCGCTGTGTTCTGCTACCTCTCAAGTCAAGTCCAGAGCGTGGAAATGCATCCATGGGTTTGGAGCTCAACACGATGAAAATAACCTAAACAGATGATGACACATTAAAAAATTCAACATTAATAAAATCAGAAATTTTATAGACAAAACCATGAATCTATAAATCTAGAAACTTACTCACAGACTAATGAAAATTATCCTTAGTTGCAGCCCTAACTAATTACTACTTTTGAAATTTTTTACAGCATAAACAACAGTCTATGATCTTAGCTTCTCAAGTGTTATTCGGTTTCATTTAATTGTAAACTGAATGTTTGAGATTTGGACTGATGGAATAATGCAAGTTACTTAAAAAAAAAGTCTTGGACTCTGGGAATGGATGGACATTTTTTTTTTTTTTTTTTAGCATTTATGACATTTTATAGCTTAAACACATAATCATAAGATTAATTGATAATGAAAATATTTGCAGCCATTAGCATTTTTCATTTGATAAAAAAAAAAAGTGACACACATCCCTTTTGACATTAATAAATAATTACCAAATTAGATTTTTTTTTTTATATGGCAGGCATCAATAGCTCGATTTTTGTTGTTTCTTCTTGTGTGTCATTCATACCAGTATATTTTTATATATCTTTCGGAAATCTGAAGTCCGCTCATAGGAAATGACTTGTTTACAAAAGGAATACTTATCTTAAGTTCTAATACTTGAGAAAGGAAGTAGGAGTCATTGTTCTACATCAGTTTCCTCGTTTTATTTGGAATATGATTAAGATGATGCAACAGTTCACATGACTGTGTCTCACCAATGAAATGCACCTCTCATCAGGCCACATCAAAAAAAAAAAAAAAAAAAAAAAAAAAAAAAAAAAGGTTAGAGCTGAGCAGGTGGATGAGGGGATTTCTTTCACGCCTATGTAAAGTCAGACTTCGGAGCAGCCTGATGCAGGTAGTATTGAGGAAATCAGACAGCCACTGTAAGCTGATGAAAGAATGTCATCTTAAACCGGTCACATAGTAAAAAAATAAATTGCATAATTACATCACCTGAACACAAACATCATGTCACAGTCAGTACCTGGCCAGGTTGAAGGAATAACCAAATAAGGCAATTGAACCGACCAGATTGCTGCCCACACCCATATTTCTCAACATTTGCCAATCTGCCCTTCTTGCTCAGTCACATGCAGCGGCATCTCCCTCGCAAGCATGGACAAACTTGCCGCACGCACGCACACGCGCGCGCGCACACACACACACACACACACACATAAACAAACACACACACACACTCCATAGCATACTGGCGCACCTACTTTGCTGTGCATGTACAGGCATTTCACTTATTCTGTCTTCTTCATTAAATAAAATGGCGCGCTCAGACCAATCTGATTGCTGTATAAATAAGTTATACACCGCTGAAAAAGTTTGTTTGACTTCTAGCGTGAAGGGAAAAATCATACAAACCTCCATTCAAAAAAACTGAACGTGAACATTTTTAACGACGCAGAATACATAAGACACAAATACTAAAATAGAAATGACATCTTCTGAATCTTTAGGAGCCACACTTCACTTCATTTTGATTAAATTCTAACTTTCTTGGATAGTTTACACTGTCACTTCCGCTCGCCCCTTACGCGTAGCTACAGGAGAGATGCTGTGTAATAAAAAACTAATCAGATATAAAAGACGTACATTTTCTCTAAATCAATCTGTTTGGCGGCTCTCTACCGCGCCGAATTAAAGACAGGTTACTAACAACTAACAATACATTTTGTTCTCCTGAACTTAAGACATGTATTTGTACAAATTTAAAAGACCACTTCAAATTCACAAAATCTTAAACTGAGACTGGGCCACACATCAGGAAGACCAGCCGGCACAGTTGGACTTATAAATGTTTCATTCTACGTTCAATTGTTAATTCACCTCGCGCTGTCAAACCCGGAAATGTCTGAGTAGGTCAATGAGGTGTATAGAGGGAAGAAGAGCTTAAATGAACGAGTCACATTAGTTGTGACTTTTTTTTTTTAAGACTATGAGGAATTTCGCACCAGCGTGAAGCGACTCTGACAGACACACGAGACATTCTGCGAAGAGGTTTGTGTCGAGCCAATATCGGAAAACCCCATACCAATATAATGTCCCTGTGGCAAACCTAATGACTTTAGAATTTCCACAACTTCACTGTTCAGCCATTAAAACAGAATATAGCTCATCTGAGAAAAAACTTTCTGCATAAACAAACAACAAATGGCTAATGATGAAAGTCCAGATGGGCTCGGTGGTTATTACTCATCACAACCATTTATGAACTCCTTTCACTTTCAGGAAATGTTATCTTCATTTAAAAGTTAGGCCACACAACAGTCTTTTAATATCTGCTTTACTCCTACACAGTGTCAGTAGCTGGGACCAGAGCAAAAAACAACTTTTGTGCGCTGTTATATTTAAAGTAAACTGAAAAATAAAACTTACCGCACATTTAAAGTCGATCATGTTTTCGTAGAAATGTCAAAATCCACACTTTTAAATAGAGTCATTCCAGACGTGATTTACAACAAAGTGCTTTCACAGGCACCGCTCGTGCTTCTTTCTTTAAGTTCAAGGCAGGTGTGTCGACTTGAGCTAATGACTTACCGGTATATGGTGTGGCCCCGCCCACCCCGTCTCCCAGAGTCATGAAACCTGAGAAAAAACAAGACTGTGGGAGTAAACAATCAGATCTTTACTCAAGTAATAGGACCACGACAACAAATAAATGTCCCTTTTACAAGTAAAAGTCCTGCTTTTAAAATAGGTCAAATAACAGAAAAAAACCCGCAAAATTTAGAAGTAAATGCAGAAAAATGGCTGATGATGGTTAATGGTTAATTATTATTATTTTTTTTTAAACAACACATGCTGATCAAAGTGCTTGAGAGATATGACAATTAAGATCAAATAAAAAAAACTTTTAATAATTTAGTACAGTGGTTCACAACATGTGGTCTGATGAAATGATAAATAAATATGAGGAAATAAAAAGTAGAATATATCAATTTGAAATGTCGTGGAGAAAAGTAACATGCAATGGAATTTCCTCAATTAAAGTACAAGTACCTCAATATTACATTTATGTACAGTGCTTGTTTAAATGTAGTCTACTTATGTACTTTTCACTTCTGGCTTTGTAATAAAAGTGAAACACATTAAGGATTCCGGAGTGGATTATGTTTTTAATGTGATATTTTAAAGTTTATTTAAAAGTGATATTTAGGTGGCAAAATACAGTTTTATCACAGGGTGTAAATCCTACACAGTAATGCCTTATGTGAATTATGACTTAAGAATGATTCATACCAGGAAACAAGCACACACTGTTGTGGCTAAAGTTGAGTCACATCAATACATGGAGGTGTGTGGATGTGAGCCACATACAGGAATAGCGAGTTAGATAAATAATTGTAATATTAACATATTCTAATGTTAGTTTTATATTGGACTTACTATAATCTTTTAGTTAAAACCTATTGTTTTGCAATCATTTTGACTATCTCTGGCAGATGAGCTTTATCCTTAAGCCTTTTGGAGAGTTTTTTTCATGAGAGCATGGATTTGATTTGGGACTGCAGCTGATAGTGCCTGGTGCATGCTGCATTCTACATGTTGCATAGGATGTTGCATTAGTAAGTAGGCCTACATATACATTTTATAATATGTACCTTACTTTTTAGCCATATTGTCATGAAATTTGCAACACACATTCAAACCCATCTCAGAATAAATAGTAGTAACTTAGTGATCCTCTAATGTTTTCACTTAGTGTCATCATCAGATCAATATTTTAATTTGTCCAGTAGGTTAATAAACAAAATCTTGCTAAACTAATGACGTTCCCATCAGCCTCAGCTGCAGTTACATGCTAAACTAAGATAGTGAATATGGTTAGCTCAACATCAGCATGTTATTTTAGCATGTAGCTCAAAGCACAGCCTCACAATGCTACTAGCATGGATGCAGACTCTTAGGTCTTGTTTAAACTAAACAGATGTAGTTAAAGGTGTAAGCATATATGATATGAAAAATATGTTTCATGTGCAAGTTCAAGTTCCCCTAGTTTGCCTGATGTTTTAACCTAGATGAGGCCAAGGATCTTTATATTCAAAACATTTTGCTCAGTGACAAAAGATAGATGACTGAAGACTTGATGAATTTTGTTCACATTGGAGGAGGTTAAAATTTTTTGTTTTGAAATGAAGCATTCAAGTAATATTTTCTGCTTGAACCTCTCAGTAGAAACAGTAGCTCCTTTTCTCCATCACCAAATGGAATCTTGCAACGGCCACAGTGAATTTGCAAATGCGAAAGATAAAAACCTTGTCCGCTGTTACAATTACATGATCATTTCCAGAGTGGTTGCTCTCTGCTGTTGGGCCCTGCAGGATAATGGGGAAAACAGACCATTGTACAAAGCCTCTCATCACAGACCACGTGAAGTCAGCCATCATCACAGTTTTTAGCAAACCTCACCTCCTGCGTGTGCCAGTTTCACATTATCTAATGAGCAGTTGTCTGCAGCTCACAGATATGCAGCCAAACAGGAAGGGGTTTGTTCAACTGTACATGTTTATCTGGGATGTGTGTGGAATATGTGTTAATGCAGAGAGGACAACACACAGCGACCCATAGTGACACTGAAATAAAACCTCATTTTCAGTCTGTTGATTGTGCATCCAAGCTAACATGGAGCTGACAGCTTCAGTGAAAGCCTGATGGAGCTGTTCTAGACTCAAAGATTAGACTCATAGTTTGGTGTCTGATGAAATAAAGACTGCAGGCTTCTGTGCACCACAGCTCATCAACATCTTATTCAAAAGTTTACGCTACATTTCTGTTTTTACCAATTTTATTCCTTCAGTCACTCAGAGTCTACTGCATGTGGAAGAGTTTATGCACCGTTTACCCGTGCACTCTGCTGGAACTTGTGTCTTTGGTGATAAGGCGAGGGAGGAGGCCAAAACCTCTAAGTCACTTTTTCAAAGATAAGACATGAATTTTATACACCATACTTCTTTCTCCTCTTCTGTTTCACCGAGGTCAAGATCAGTTCTAATGATATGGAAAATCAAATTTATTTTCTTGTCTTGCAGGGGCGTCTGCACTGAGAGGAAGGTTATGCTGTGTAGGCTTTAGGAGATCATTGTGACTCAGTGCAAAGAGATATAGTGAAGAGTAATCCCTATTAACTCAGTTTACTCTCCTTAGCAGTTTGCCCAAACCTTATCAAAAGTGAATACGAACCAACATGGCATCAAGTCGATCAAAAGTACATTAAGAAGCACAAGTGAAACCGCACACGCTCTTGTTGTAAAAACAGACAGGAAGTGGGCTGAAAAAAACGTAGCTATGACTTGTGGTGTTGAATCAAACAGTGCTTTGTCAGCTGTACGTTTGTCAAGACTGTTACAGCGTTACACAATTGTCTGGTTAACATCGTTTTCAGGCAACATGAAATGTTAGTGTGCGTTATAGTGAGCAGCATCAAACTGATGGAGGTTTCATGAGGATGGAGGAAAGAGAATAAGAGGAAAAAGGAGAAAGGAATAAATGTTCCTCTGAAAAATGAAGTCAACTGAATGCAGTGTGGTTACTTTTGATGATCACACATGAGCAACATTTCATTTTTAACCTGTGTTGTCTAGCTAATAGAACTAAAAAACTGAAAAAAAAGAAAGAAAAGAAAATCATTATATCTAATCTAACAGCCTGGCAGTGCAGGGCTAACAGAGGGAAGGCGGATGCAGCTCAGGAGGCAGAGTGGGTCGCTCACTTATCACAAGGTCGATCCTGACTCCTCCTGGCAGTATGTCGGGAGTGTCCTTGGGAAACATACTGAAACACCAATTTTCTCCCTCTGGTCAGACCAGTGCCTGTATAGCTCAATGCCACCGGTGAGTGACTGCATTAATGTGAGTTAAACTGTAAAGTGCTTCATATAAATGTCTTATGAAGTACCTTGGTCATGGGCACTTACTGTTTGTAGTATTTTAAGGTTGTTCTTCAAATTTCTGCATGGGATACTGACCATAGTGACTGTAACTTTACATATTTGCCATTAGCCTGGTACTGTTGTGTAGGCTACATGTGTCCATTGACTGCGGGGGATTATACAGTATGTTATGCTAAGCTAGCTGAATGGGGCTCTGTCATTCAGCTGTTTTTCCAGCAGCTCTTTCATGGCTGCCTGGGACATCCAGCTGATCGACTTCAATGAGAATAACTTAGCTGGACACACTGCTCATGTTTACAATTAGAGGGAGAACATACAGGTACAGAGCCTTACAGCCATGTGCTGGAAACACAATCAATGTTCTCATGGTTGTTGTGTTAATCTTGCTGCATGTCAGTCCTCCATCCTGCCATACGCCAGTTATCAAGTTATAGCTTTTGTAATGTGGCATGTCTTTGTAGTTTTTACAAACACGCAGTTGTTCCATTCTGCCCACAAGCCACAAGCTGAATGGTGGTGGTAATATTAATGAAATGTTTCTGGTGGAACCGCAACAGAGGAACACCATTACCCACGGGCTGAATGTCATGTTTCGCTGAGTTACACTAACTAGTGGAACAGGAGCTAGCCCAGATGTGATGACATGACTTTGGCTCTCTATTTCTTTTATGCTAGCAGATTAGTTAGATATAGTTATTTAGGTTAAACGCTTGTGCAGGTTTGATGCAGATGTTACAGTGCGCAACTGGTTATGAGGCTACAAATACAGACTACAGTGTTTCACCAGGATGAAAGTAAATTACTAACTTAAAAATGCTCATTAAAGTCCTTAGTCACAGCAAACAAAAAAAATTACTGTTTTTGATACACTGTTTTCATCTCTTTTTTCAGCTACTCTTTTATTAAGCTGCTGTTCCAGTAATGTTAACAATTAGAGCCAGAACATACAGGTACAGAGCCTTACAGCCATGTGCTGGAAACACAACACGATAGTTGTGATAATCTGCATGTCAGTCCTCCATCCTGCCATACGCCAGTTATACAGTTAGCTTTTGTAACGATGTATGTCTTTGCAGTTTTTATAAAGAAGCACATTGTAAAATACTGTCTTGTTGGACAGTTGTTGAAAATAAAAGGAGATACGGTGTCAGGTCTGTCTTATGAGCATGGTGTTTAAAATATAGCTTCGAATCATTTGAGAAAACACATGGTCTTATTATTCTGCCGTTATGTGTTTGATTTTGTTCCACCCACAAGCCACAAGCCACAAGCCACCCTCTACCCTCAGGTCACACGTATGGTAATTCATCAGCACTGTTTCTCAGGAACTGGAAAAACATGGTGGAACAATATGCTGTGAACAGGCCAATAATGACTGAAGATGAAGGGGAATTATCCCACCACAAGGTTAAAAAAAAAAACTCACCTCCACAGGCTAAATTTCTTAAAATAACAGCTTTGTGAATTATCTGCAAATGCAAATCAAATTACCAGGAACATGCTTCATTTAGTCAGACAGATGACAGAAATGCAGAATGAGGGTTTGCACTGAGTTACAGAAACTAGTGGAACAGAGGCTGTGACTTTAACTAAGATTAACAACAACATC